GGGTAACTATGTCAAAACCATGGTTCTGTAGTCTATACACCATTTGACAATGGAGTGTAGCTACAGTGGTTGTTTCAATCTGTTTGGTTCATGTGATTTGTAACTGGACTTTAAAGGCTGAACTCAAATGAGGGTCTTTAATTGGGATATTAAAATTTTGAAAAAAGGTAACAAATATGATCAATTTCATATTATCCCTAACACGTTTCAATTTTAATTTCAATTTTAAAAACACTGTTTCAATTTCATTGATTTTTATTTTATTTCACAGCCATCTGCTCGCCACCTCTGAGCTATTAGAGAAGAGTATGCAGAAGCGTTGTGTGTGCGGTTATTTAACGAAAAATTATATGTCTTTAGCATCGCACAATAGCAGCTAAGAACGCCCGCGCTTGGACCGAAGGTAAGCAAGCGGCGTAGCGGCGATCAGCGTAGCTCCACTTTTAACCACTTCGCGGAATACAGGCGGAGGCGGGGCGGGGCCGATAGGCTCCCCTGATAGCGGTTAGTTGCTGAGCAAGCATAGCGTATATCAGCTTTAGGCAAATTGCGGAAATTCGTACAGAACAGGCGGAGGTGGGATTTGAACCCACGACTTATGGAGATAAATACAAAATATTCAACCGCGCTATCGGCCGGGTCTATAGGCCGGGCCTATAGGCAGCAATTCTTATTTTGCAAACCGAGCGTACAACTTTTACTGTACATGGCTTGAGAAAATGTAAATGTTCGCCCATGATTCGAGAAGCCTCCATCCGATCTGTTCTATCCCTCACCGCCCCTCGCTGACACATGAAGAGGGATTGGGCTTTGGAGTAGCTTTGCTTTAGCGCTTTCGTTCGTAACAAGGTAGCCGTAGGGACAATGAAGGTCTTACTCTGGCAGTTTCCCTCCTCTTGTCCGACATCTATAGGAATATATAACATCCAACGGAATATACCGTTGACACAGCAGCACATACTTTTCACTCACTCTCTTATAAATAAGACTAAAGGTTAAAGTAGAAGGCTCAGAGACTGTTGACTCAAACTTAGTCTTGGATTCTTGTCGAAAGACTATAATTGAGCAAAAGAATAAAGACAAGTATAGCTTAACTAACTTGTCGGCCTTCTCATCCTTCCGCCCTATCAGAGATCGATGGAAAGACGATATGCATCGTCGAATAAAACATATGCTTAAAGATAGAGGATAAGGAAGCGACACCTCTGTTTGAAATCACCGTAAAAATCATTCATCGAAAACCATACAACATTAGAAAAAAAAAGTCGTCAAACACTCTTCAAGTTCTAAACTTTCTCTCTATGACGGTACACCTCTTGATGATCCTTCCGAGTTCCGAAGTATTGTGGGCGCCTTACAGTATCTTACACTCACTTGCCCAGATATCACCTACGCGGTGAATCAGGTATGCCAGTTCATGCATGCTCCGACCACTTCCCTCTGCCCTTATCCGTCAAGAGCTTCCTCGTTCGTGCAGTAACAATGCCTTTCTTATCCTTATTTCTTTGTTCTTGATGTGGGTCAGCGAGGATCATTTAACAATGCCTTTTGCACTAATGGCTTCATGTGTACGGGCTCAATGCCAGATATTTACCTCTAGAGATCCTTCTCTTTGAATTCCCGGTATTCAGTTGTCTTCCTTGGTTCCACTAAACCATTCATGAAGCAGATCGCCGGGAAGGTCTCAAGCATAAAGCGAGAGTTTTCGACCCCGATCGACAAACTGATAGAATCCCAATTTCTTTAGTAGGAAATCAACGCGTTGAAAGATCTTTGATCTCACCTGGGAACAAGTCCAACAAAGCACTTTTCCCTACCAAATTGTATCTATCCCTGCCTGCTTCTTCCATTCGCTGAGCTCTGAGCTCCTCTGGATAATCATGATGTGCGCATGCTGGCTACTCTGCTTTAATAGTGTGTTAACTAGTAGTTAAAGTTAACTACTGATTAAGGATTTGGTACTGACACCCGTCTTACTAACTACAAGCCTTTGGAAAAGATATAGTGGATAGGGTATACTCCTTTTGTTTACAACTATCTCAAAGACTCCGTGACTTGGGAAGAAAAGAGACCGGGGTCAAGAATCAATTCAAGCAACCTTTCTCGAGAGATTTGTCTAGGAATATAATAATAAATAGGTTGGGAATTATTATCAACTTTGATAAACAAGGCTGTATTTTCTTGTTCAGAGGGTAAAAGGTTAGCTATGTCAAAAGAATGGTTCTGCAGTCTATACACCATTTGATAATGGAGTGTAGCTACAATGGCTGTTTCAATCTGTTTGGTTCTTGTGATTTGTAACTGGGTTGAACTCAAATGAAGGTCTTTAATTGGGATATTAAAATTTGGGAAAAAGGTAACAAATACGGTTCCTGCATTTAAGATTGTTTGCATAGTTCCAATACATGCATGTTGGTATTCTAAAAACCTGGAATCTAACAAAGTAATTCGATAAACTGCGTCCATACCTTTTCTTCCATGAAAAGTCTAGGCTAGCTTTATGGCTCCAAAGTGAATATGAGTGTAACCATCTCTAAGCTATTGGGGAAATCGGTTGCTGCGTAGGGTAATGGTAATGTATTGTTCAGATTGGGTGGTAAGTATCTGGTGTTGGTCAAAAGAAGAGGCTTGGACAATTCTTTAATAGCTTCAGGGTCCTTTTTTCCACAGAGCCTTTTGATTCTTTTGGTTCAATTTAAACTAGATTTATCATAGACATGATAAGGATTAATTAACTGAGAGTTGGTTTCAGAAAACTTTTCAAGGGTATAGGTTATTTCAAAAAGATGATCTTGTTTTGAAAACATAGGACGAAAATTTGTACTAGAAGAAGGGGTGTTATCTACAGAGATTTCTGAAACAGTACCTTATGCCATTTTAAACTTGTTTTTCAAAATAATTTACTATGTTGACTGTATATTTTGAAATGAAGGTAAGGCCAACTTTCTTTTTTTGTTAACAAGATATAAACTCCAACCATGGCCTCCTAGCCTTCAACAGAGTTCCTGTTATGTTAACCTTCAGAAAGTATTGACAGTGGAACAACATCAACACTAGAAATCAACATTTAGTTCATGCCACATTTTCTGATGCGAGAGATCCTAGACCAGCTAGGTAGACGCAAAGCATACTAATCTCAGTATGAGCTTTAGATTAACCCAACCAATACAATAAACTTTTAATCTCAAGTTAAAGGCTCTGATACCATTTAAGATGTGCTTACTATGAAAGGTTGTTTAAGATGTGTATGAAAGGCATATGAAAGGCAGAATAAGACGGAGATACCTTTTAAAAGTCTATTTTTGAGATAGATTTTTTGACTTAATTTTTAAAGACATTTAATCTCTGACATGGAGATTATGAATATGAGAAAATAAACAAATTTTGAAAATTTAAAATAATAATTCTATTAAAAAAATATTTAGACAGTTAGTTTGAATCGTTTTTAGAGATGGACAACCTATTTGCATCCATCTTTATACCTACCTTGGGACCGCATCTTTATACGTTTTTAGTTTCAATAGTTTCAATCGTTTTTAGATGAATGCTTATACCTTGGGACTGCATATTGTAGAAATGGGGGGCAGCCCGCACGAAACAATTCATAACAAAATGATATCTTCGACACAGTTCTTATGAGTCCCCGGACTCATATGTAGAAATGTGCCCTCTGTTAGCATTCAATTTTTGAAATGGATTTTAGCCCTAGTTTACGAAACACCAGTTTCATTTCTCAGAGTGGGGTTCGTTCCTTTGCGCTTTTCTTTCTAACGAAACCCTTGTTTTGAAATTCTACA